AAGAAGGATGGCAGGATGACCCTGTGTGGACTATAGATCTCTATCACATAACCAACATGAATAAATACCTTTTTCCTCTTATTCCAAAACTTATTGAACGTCTTCAATCCTCACGAATATATACCAAGCTGGATCTAAGGGGTGCCTACAAAATGTGCTCTGAGTCCATGAGGGAGATGAATGGAAAACAGCATTTCGCTTTCTCTATGGTCACTACAAATACCTGGTCATGCCCTGTGGGCTGTGTAATGTATCTGCCTCCTTTAAACACCTTCTCAATGATATATTCCGTGACCTCCTTGATTAATACATGGTTATTTATGAAGATGATATTTGAATTTTATCTCCAGACCTACCTACTCATCATCTCCATGTCATTGAAGTGATAAGACGTTTGCAAAAATACAATCTATATGCAAAGATTTAGAAATGTATATTCGAAACAAAGTGTGTGGAAAAGTGGCCACCATCCTTACATGACCCATACCCCAAAACAAGAAACAAATCCAACAATTTGTGGGATTCGCCAATTTTTATCAGAAATTCATCCGTAACGTCTCTAAAGTAATCGCACCTCTCACTCACCTTACAAAGAAAGAAGCGAAATGGAACTGGACCCCAAAGGAACAAAGCACATTTGACGATCTAAAGATCCTATTCTCCACTGCACCTATCTTTTTATTTACCTGATTCAGAGAAACCTTACTTCCTGTAAGCTGATGCATCAGACTCTGCAGGGGGGGTAGTATTATCACAGAGAGACAGCTCAACTGGACTGTTACATCCCATAGCTTTTTCCTCTCATAAGTTGACAGAGGCAGAATCCAATTACATAGTTACATAGCTGAAAAGAGACTTGCATCCATCAAGTTGATCCTATCTGACATATGTTTTTGCTGTTGACCCAAAAGAAGGCAAAAAACCTAGTCTGAAGCGCTTCCAATTTTGCAACAAACTAGGAAAAAATTCCTTCTTGACCCCAAAATAGAAGTCAGATGTCTTTTTGGATCAAGCAGCTATTACCCCACTAATAAGAAATTATATCCCTGTATGTTATGTTTTTGCAAATATGTGTCCAATTGCAGTTTAAACATCTGTATCGACTCTGATAAAACCACCTCTTCAGGCAGAGAATTCCATATCCTTATTGCTCTTACTGTAAAAAAAAAAACTTTTCTTTGCCTTAGATGAAATCTCCTTTGTTCCAGCCTAAATGTGTGACCTCGTGTCCTATGTAGAGCCCTGTTTAATGGTTTGTACAATATAATATATTTGTATAATGTTATCATATCCCCTCTGAGGCGGCGTTTTTCCAAACTAAAGAGATTTACATTTTTTAACCTTTCTTCGTAACTAAAATGCTCCATTCCTTTTATCAATTTTGTAGCTCGTCTCTGCACTTTTTCTAGTGTCATGATATCCTCCTTTAGAACAGGTGCCCAAAATCGCACAGCATATTCAAGGTGTTGTCTTACCAACATTTATAAAGAGGCAAAATTATATTTTCATCCCCAGAATTTATGCCCCTATTTATACATGACAAAACCTTCAACTGCAGATTGACATTGCATATTGATGCCTAATTTGTTGTCTATAACAATTCCCAAATCCTTCTCGTGTGTTGTTATCCCTAATTCACTACCATTTAGGGTGTAAGTTGCTTGTGCATTCTTAACCCCGAAGTGCATAACTTTGCATTTTTCTACGTTAAATTTTATCTGCCATTTTAGTACCCAGTCCCCCAATCTATCCAAATCCCTCTGCAGCAAAGCAATGTCCTGCTCACATTTTATTACTTTATAAAGTTTTGTGTCATCTGCAAACACTGAAACATGGCTTTCAATGCCTATTTCAAGATCATTTATAAATATGTTAAATAGAACCCTGAATGACACCACTTACCACTTTTGTCCAGCCTGAAAATTTACCATTAATGACACATAACTTTCTAGTAATGTGCTTTGATAGAGCACTTTGGGAACATCCAACTTCCTTCGCAATTACCTTTTGATGCTTTCCCTCCTTATGGAGGGTGTCAATGATGGTTTTCTGCACAAGTGTCAGGTCAGCAGCCTTCCCCATGATTGTGAATCCTACTGAACCAGACCGAGAGACCATTTAAAGGCTGATAAACCTTTTGCAGGTGTTGTGGCTTACTTAACTGATTAGAGTGGGACACTGTGAGCCTAGAATAGTGCACCTTTTCACAATATTCTAATTTACTGAGATTGTAGATTTGGGGTTTTCATGAGCTGTAAGCCATAATCATCGCACTTATGACAAATCATGGCTTGAACTATCTTGCTTTGCATGTAATGCGTCTATCTCATATATTAGTTTCCTCTTTTACGTTGCATTACTGAAATAAATTAACTTTTGCACGATATTCTAATTTTTCAAGTATCACCTGTATATATATATATATTTGTGTTCGGGGCAAATAGCCGTATATGGAGTAAGGTTCCAGCATAAGCGTAGGATAGTATAAAGGGAGCAAGTCGGTTGTTGTGTGCCGAGACCGACGATACGGTAGGCCTGTAAATAAAGAGGGCCCACCAAGGAGTAAGTAAGTAAAGTAAATGGAAAGAAAAGAGAAAGTGTTGAAATGAGGAGTGGGTGGGAGGGTCATTCTGATGCTGACCTCAAGCGATATGAGTCAGGTAAGGGGTGTCCCTTATATAGGGGAGTGAATTAATTTAAGCCCCTCCCACAAATACAGGCCAAACGGCCTTAAAACTTGTGTTCGGGGCAAATAGCCGTATATGGAGTAAGGTTCCAGCATAAGTGTAGGATAGTATAAAGGGAGCAAGTCGGTTGTGGTGTGCCGAGACCGACGATATGGTAGGCCTGTAAATAAAGAGGGCAAAAAGAATAATCAAAGATTTAATACAGTCAACAATATATACAAATTAACCAGACATTTCCTTAAATGCATTACGGTATTTAATTCCTGGAAGGATTTTTGAAGGTAGGAATCTAGGACCGCAACTGGACACCATTTGTTGTGGGTAGGATAGTATATTATCTCTACTGTTGGTGCGTGTTGACTCGTTTCGGAATGTGGTAGTGCCAATAGGTAATGATATATGTGTTTACATACGTGGGATCGTTGAAGACAATGATCTGTTTGAGTGGTGGTTATGGTAGTGGATTCTCTGGCCTGAGAAAGGCATAAAAGGCAGTGTGCATGGTGGTAATGGCCAACTTGGTAGTATAATTGAATGGTTGTAGCTCTAATAGGTCCGATAAGTATGGAAAAGTTGGATGGCTATTGGTAATATCTGAGAGGAACGTGGGGGGATGGATTCCTGAAAACCTCTGAGTATATTCTTGTCTGGTATGATAGCATGGAGTTATGGTAGTTTTGGCCATAGGTTATCCTGTGTTGTTGAATGCCTGTAAAATATATAATTAATGGTGTGTGAGATGGTTTTAGTTTAAGGTGGCAAAAATGAAGCAAAACCTAGGAGAAATGTTATGACACAGGTTGAGCTATGTCGTGTTCCAATGAGATTCTTTAAAGCCAGGTGAATAGGTGTTATGCGTTCTACAAGTATGGGATGAAAGTGCTAGGTGGGATAGTGCATGCTATGCTGCATGAGTATGTTTAATCCATGATTTTGTCTCTTGTACGAAAGAGTGGCCGTGACTGTATGGGCGGCTGTAGGAAGCGTATGATGAACGTGCCTGGAATATAAATGAGACAATTGTCGGCAAGGATGTATACCCCCACCTGGTACATGAAAGTAAAAGAAATGTGGTAAGTGGCCAACCAAGTGAGTTCCCCAGCAATACCATGATCGTATGGATGATGAGTGGCATTTGTTGATGATATGACATGTGCTTAGTTGTCTGAGTAACAACGGATTGATGACCCTGACCATGATTTACCCCATGCCACAGCAGCTGCTTTTAGCGTGGATAGGATTGCCCATTTAATGCCATGTAAGTGCCAGTTTGTAGGGTAGATGGTAGCAGTTTACTGTGTTGATGATATTGGTCTTACTTAACGAAGCTTCAACCCATGCTTGAGTGATAGCTGTAAAGGTAGATCAATGGTGTGTATAGTAAGGAAACTCCTCGGAGGGTACGAGGGAGTTGAGACTTGGGGTAGCGAAGGTGTGTGGTGCCAATAAGTCTATGGTTAGTCTTTGTTTAAGGGAAGATTCCCTTGTGACAATACCAATGCATTTGTGTTTGGTGCCATGCTGTAAATGGTGGAGATTGGAAAACCCAAGTAAAAACCCCTCTGCAAATCTTGGCTATGAGTGTGTTTACAGCCGACGGTTCTGTTGTGCTGACTGTAAGTGAGGGCATACTATATTCCTTGAGTTTATTTATGATACCTGTATGGGAGCCCTTTGAAGCTCCAGAGCCTTAGTAAATCTACTACAAGTCTGGAAGGGTGATGAGTCAGTAGTATTGAAAATGCATTGGTGTGTACAGATGGTGAGTACGTTATTTGTAAGTTGTATTGGGACACATGGTTTGTCATGTGCCCTGAATGATTTGAACATATATGCAACAGTCTATATGCAATGCAACTACTAATACCAATTGTCTATGGTAGTTCAGAGGTGCTGGTACCTGGAGCCTGAGAGTGTTCACCCGTTTGTTTGGGAGAAAATCCCTTCTGTATGGGTACCTGCACAAATAAGCATCTCTACATATTCCAAATGCCAGCACAACCAAGGGATGGTCAGTTCCCGATTTACCTAGAATCCCTGGGTCTGACCATCATAGATACATCATCATACATATATATGCCTTGTTTCCCCAATGTGCCGGGATCATATGTGCAACGTTAACGTCTTGAACCAAGTAACCGAGTTTCGGTTGGTGCTGGTCGTACAGTGAGGCCCAGCCTTGTGAGGGCTGTGACTGACTCGAGATTGCCAGTCTGTCGTAAATTTTGGCTCATGAGTTTATGAGTGAGGCTAGCATGGCCTGGGTGTCACCTGAGTTGGTGTTGCTGGGCCTTCCCCTGCTTCCGTGTTGTCCGTTGATGTATGGAGGAGTTTGAATAACTCTGCTTTCCTTGCTGTGGCAAGGTAGGGGATTTGTCGCCTCCTTAGGTCGGAGCCACATCTCCTCTGCTTGAAGGTGTATCACTTCTAGCCGAGGTGCCAGGAAGAGGTGATTCTTCACCATCTTTTTGAGAAATACTTAAATAACAATAAAGATTGCAATTATTATTTGTACCCATGGGTCTTGTACTGGCTTGCTCGCTAAGCCGTAAGGCGAAACGATTAGGCTTGGTGTTTTTTGGTGACTGGTGAGGCCCTGCTAATTGCCAAGTGGCTTGAGAGGCTCTATCTATGCTTGGCGCGAGGGGATTTTTTTGTGGCCACCGAACGTTGTGGCAGTATGTTGGCCTCTCGGTGACAGTAACCAGAAAATAGGAAGGGGAGTGACAGGTGAGGCCCTCTCTATGATACAATGCGAGGCGGCTAGCTCATGAGTGGCCCGAGGGGTGTATGCCTCCGAGTGTGAGGCGGGGTGTTGGCCTCGCGGGACCACTAACCAAAGCGTAAAGCAGAGAAAACAGGAGGTAATACCTATTGGGCCATAGAACCCTAATTGCCAGTACATTACTACTATTCCAGGGAAGGTAAGAGATGAAGGTGTATCACTTCTAGCCGGGGTGCTAGGAAGAGGTGATTCTTACCATCTTTTGAGAAATACTTAAATAACAATAAAGATTGCAATTATATATTTGTACCCAGGGGTCTTGTACCGGCTTGCTAGCTAAGCCGTAAGGCGAAACGATTAGGCTTGGTGTTTTTTTTTGTTTTTTTTTGGTGACTGGTGAGGCCCTGCTAGTTGCCAAGTGGCTTGAGAGGCTCTATCTATGCTTGGCGCGAGGGGATTTTGTGTGGCCACCGAACGTTGTGGCAGGATGTTGGCCTCTCGTGACAGTAACCAGAAAAATAGGAAGGGGAGTGACAGGTGAGGCCCTCTCTATGATACAATGCGAGGCAGCTAGCTCACGAGTGGCCCGAGGGGTGTATGCCTCCTAGTGTGAGGCGGGGTGTTGGCCTCGCGGGACCACTAACCGAAGAATAATGCAGAGAAAAAAGGGGGTAATACCTATTGGGCCCTAGAACCCTAATTGCCGGTACACTATTACTATTCCAGGGAAGGTAAGAGATGAATAACTACATGAGCAGGTGTACGTACCTGGTAGTTGGTATTGAACCTGACAATCTGTATAGGTTTTTTAGTAGTAACTGTAACCTGAATGGATAAAATCGTATGGCATAAGGAAATATGGCATAGACCAAGCTTATCTTAAAGCATACAGTATATGTGAAAGTAAAGTGCCGTGATATGTAAATATTAAACATCATATCCATACTGGTTAAATATGTATCAATCTTAACCCATTAAGTGCCGTATGTAAGTGAACCATATTACCAGTTACGTATATACAGATGCGTGTGCTACTGTGTAATATGTGTATTTATAACAGATATTGATATACTGCTTGCTATGTGAATTGTTGTATGCCTTATTGAATGGCAAGTGAACATTGAGTTGCAAAATGCAAGTGCACTGGAGATCTGCCGAGTGCCCTATAGGTGGCAGTGTAGTTGATACTGATTGGTATGTGAAATGTTGTTTGTCTGTTGACCTATAGGGGTCAGTGTTTTGGTGTTTGTAAAACCCCATGACAATTGTCAATGTACTTGACAGACCTGTAGGTGGCAGTGTTGATAGAACCACTGTTAGTCTTAATATGAAATGTAAATTATTGTGAATTAAACCTGAAGTTGAGCCTGTGTTGGAGTTTAATTTATGGTTTATGGTTATGTTTAAAACAATCTTATGTGTAATTTATATTGGCTGGTAATTGTATATGACATGTGAAGACAGTTTTGCTGTTGACCAGTAGGGGTCAGAAATGCTGATTGTATGGTAAAATACCCTTTAACCCCTGAAGGATACATGACATGTGTGACATATCATTTATTCCAGAGTTTGGTCCTTAAGGGGTTAATCCAAATGCAAGTTTAACGTGAGATTTTGAGAGGGACCTGTAGGGTCAGTGTGGTTTATGTGAAACATTGTTTGTGAGCTATGCCCCAGCATTATAGTTGTGAAACAAACAGTGCCCGTTTGACAATATACAATAAGTGAACATAATAGCTTAATAACAGTCATTGTAACAAACCAAAGTTCTGTTCGTGGGTTGTAAACGCACGAAGCGTGTGTGTAGTACAATAGTAAATGCATGAACTATTACCCGTTTGGTAGAAAATTGCACGAACCGTGAGCCTGGTATGTCAGGGAAACAAAACGAAACGAGCAGTGATATTCGAAATGCACGCACAGAATTGCCTAGTATGTTTAGGCAATTGAAACAGAATGTGTTCCCGTTTGGAAGTATGCTAATGCTCGAAATGAGCCAGTGACAGATAAACAAGTGAGTTTAAACGAATGATATGCATGAACATCCAATGGTTTTAGGACAGATTTAGACAAAATGCAGCCGTAAAGTGAGGACCTGACCCGTGCATGGTGCCGTGGGACTGGTGCCTGGCGTAACGGGTAGGTCGACTTACGGTTTGTGAGTCACTTGGACACCATCCACAGCGATAGATTGAAGAAAGAAGGTGGAAGGCCGGAAAAGCCTGTGGCTGGATTCCTGACATAGCTCAGCTTAGAAAACCTCATGGAGTAATCAGGTAAAATGGCGTCTGGATGACCCGGAAGTGGAAATCATTCTGATGCTGACCTCAAGCGATATGAGTCAGGTAAGGGGTGTCCCTTATATAGGGGAGTGAATTAATTTAAGCCCCTCCCACAAATACAGGCCAAATGGCCTTAAAACATATGTATATATATATATATATATAAAGTTCCATACCCCCATCTCCCACAGGTCTGTAAAGGATATGCTGCCCTTTTTTGTCTGCCATTCCAAATTAGTTTGTTGATGGATATTTGTAAGGAACGAAAATATGTTAGAGATACAGCTATCAGTAAGGTCAAAATAGATATTGTAGATTGGGCAGAATAGACATTTTTATATCCACTTTGCAGCCTGATTAAATGAAAAATATTGGACCTGCATGTGAATAAAAAGTTGGATATGAATTTTCTAGGCTTTGTGTAGTCAATGCTAAAAAGGTTAGGAAGGAAAAAGGCAGTGTTACACCTAGAAAGGTTAGGAAGTCTGTCCTCCAATGGAAGCTAAACTCAGACTTCAGTGTGGTAAGTTTAGTCTCATCTACCACCACACCCATGACTTTGGTCTTGAATAATTTCAGTTTGTAATAGAAACAATTGCTTTAGGCTTAGAGTCTTTCTTAGAACACCGGTAGGGAGACCATTGGTTGTGAGACAATGTTGTCTGCAAATACATTTTTCATTTGTATTGATGGTTCCCTAGAGGTGTTCCCTGAATTTCTGGATTTGTATGGATCATTTCTGCCAGTTGTTCCAGGGCTTGATTGTATAAGAGAGGGGTAACTGGTAACTGTTTAGTAGCTGATAGGAAGGCTCTTCATTAGTAGTAAAGACTGCTCAATATATTATTGGTGCTCAATTCCCATCAATTGAAGAAATCTACAACAAAAAATGTGCTCGGAAAATAAGAGGAGTCATTAAGGACACATTTCATCCCAATTATGGTCTCTTCAATATTCTTCCCAGGGTGAAATTCTATAGGAGTCTGTATTGTCAGACTCATAGGTTGGGGAATAGATTTGTTTCTCTGCAGTGATGTATTTGAATTTCATCTTTAAAGGACCACTCTAGGCACCCAGACCACTTCAGCTTAAAGAAGTGGTCTGGGTGCCAGGTCCAGCTAGGGTTAACCCATTTTTTAATAAACATAGCAGTTTCAGAGAAACTGCTATGTTTATCAATGGGTTAAGCCTTTCCCCTATTCCCTCTAGTGGCTGTCTCATTGACAGCCACTAGAGGCGCTTGCGTGCTTCTCACTGTGATTTTCACAGTGAGAGCACGCCAGCGTCCATAGGAAAGCATTATGAATGCTTTCCTATGTGACTGGCTGAATGCGCGCGCAGCTCTTACCGTGCGTGCGCATTCAGCCGACGGGGCGGATCGGAGGAGGAGAGAAGGAGGAGAGCTCTCCACCCAGCGCTGGAAAAAGTTAAGTTTAAACCCCTTTCCCCCTTCCAGAGCCGGGTGGGAGGGGGTCCCTGAGGGTGGGGGCACCCTCAGGGCACTATAGTGCTAGGAAAACGAGTATGTTTTCCTGGCACTATAGTGGTCCTTTAAGCAATATTATTATATTGAGATTTAGTGATACCGGTTTGTTTGCTAGGAGGATAAATTAGGCTTGTACAATCCTTTGTATTTTGATTGGTAAATTGCACTTCATGGTTTTACTTGCACTTGCTTATGTGTAATATAATTGACACTTTATGTAGGTGACATTGTGCCATATTTTAACATAGTGTGCTCACATTTGCACTTAATAACATGTGATCACATGTTGATCTTTTATGCACATGACTGTGTTCACATTTTACACTTTATATGCATTGTGATAAACGCTCCTTCCCCAGAACGTTTGCCACGAACTTCTGGAGGAGTGTGGAAGCCAGCCTCCTGGCCACCAACTATGGTCTAGGTCTGGGACACCGTTTGGGAGTTACCCTGTCGAGCCGTCATTAGTAGCTTGCTCTGGGTGCCCCTGGTTCGGCACTTTCCCTTCATACAAATGGAACCGAACGCTAGCTCTCTCATGACCGCTATGGAACTAATTTTGGCATGAGGACTTTGTGGGTTCCCGGTCACCTCCGTGGGACTTAGCCATGAATGGTATAGAATTGTTTTCGGCATGAGGTGACCATGTGGTTCCCGGACAACTGCATGGATTTGATTCCCATTTGAAGTACTTGGGCGCTCAGATCAGGGCTATTTGGGGATGTGTTATTTGTGGGGGTTTTTTTTTTAATGGTTTTGGGGTACTTTTATGTTTTTATATTTTTGTGTTTTGCTCTCTGTTCCTGGGAGATAATTAGCTTACCTGTCTTTAACGCAATTATCTCCCTGGCTCAGAGATTACTGGGAGCGGCTTGTGGGGATAAGGAAGACGTGTACCGTCATGCAGTATCCCACTTCGACACAAGACTCCAGCAGCGGCTACAGGATTTTCTGTGCTGTAGTAATGACCCTATCTCAGACAGGAAAAAACCAGAATGAAGGGTGGCGATCCAAACTGATCTCTGGAAGAAGGACCTTAACGAAATTCGACCCTTCCAGGGAAAGTTCCTCCTGACCATGACCAGTGTCAACGGGAACAACTAGAACTGAGAATGCCGTTCCTGGGAGAACTGGAAATGCTTATCATGTCTGA